TCCTCTACTCCATATGAACACAAACAAACTCTGCCCATTCTTTCCTAACTTCTTCAATGGCTGCTTGGGGGTACGGCGCTTGATCCTTTCCCTTCGCAAACTGCAATCCATAAACAATTATTATTCTAACAGACGAAGCTATTTTTCATTTACTGACATAGTTTATATATTCAACGACGGTATTTTTAATTTACCGTCGTTGATAATACAAAAAACAACATAAAATAAATCTGGAAATTTTCATCTTACCATCTTCTCTCATAAACAATTATTATTCTAACAGACGAAGCTATTTTTCATTTACTGACATAGTTTATATATTCAACAACGGTATTTTTAATTTACCGTCGTTGATAATACAAAAAACAACATAAAATAAATCTGGAAATTTTCATCTTACCATCTTCTCAAATTCCAGGGAAGTATCCTTTATGATGTCTCTCATAAAGCGCATGATATAATACCCGCATTCTACACTGCTTGGTTGCTTTGGTGTGCCGGACAGAGTTTTCCAAAGAGGTGCTTTACGGCCTATTCTGTCTATTTGTGTATTATACATTTTTAGAGCACTGTTCACTATGTTTTTCCCGTCCTCATCCACTACTCGATTTCCAGGCAGTGGATCCAGAAAATAGACGGTCTCCTTCTTTGCTCTCACAATGATCAAGACCCAATGACGGCTGCACAAAATAAATATAATGGTTAAACAGTTTTATATGCAGAGCATCATACAAACAAAATCTTGTTTTTTGTTTGGAGACTAACCCTGGATTGTAAGGCATCAGGAAAATCTGTTCACCATCTGTTTTTTGAAGTCGATTGGCTACGACACGTAATCTTTCAGTTAATGAACCAGCGTCGGCACTAACTAGAGCAGGGTCGATAAAGCCAACCATGTTCACCATATTTGCAGCTTTCAAATTATCAAATAGTCACCTAAATATATGAAATGAAACCATGAGTGTTTTTTTTTTTTCAACATAAAGGAGAGTGTGAAATGAATATTTGATAAGCACAAACCTCATATATACTGCAACAACAGTAGCCCCAATTTCTTCCATTCCAGCAAACTAGGTAATATCTTCATGCAAGACGAAGGTAGTACGACCTATGCCAAATACCTCCTTCTCAATTGTAAAGGTCATAGTCTTCTCCTGAGGCTTAGTGTCGTTTCCGCATAACTACAAAGGGATTGTAAAGAAGATGCCAACTCTAGCTTTGAATAATCTGGTACTTCAGTATTCTGTTTGAAGAAATAAAACAACATAAAGTGACGTGGTAAATAAATAAAAACGACGGTTTAAATAACAAACCGTCGTCTGAAAATAAGTTACACGACGGGGAAAAAAATACCGTCGTAATGAATACTTTATTACGTCGTATAAAAAAAACCGACGTCTAATTCAAATGCAAAATTCATAGATAATGAATTTACCTTTTCAATTTGCTTTTCTCCAACACTGGATTGCTGTTTTAATAAATAAAGAGAGATATATATATATATAAGAAAGCTTGTACAACAATTTAAACATTCAATTAAAAAAAAACTGCCGTGGAAATTTAAAACAAACGACGGTTTAAAGAAAATAGCGACGTCTGAAAATTGAAAAACAAATGAAAAAGGCAAAGTTATGAGAATTTACCTTTTCATCTTTCTTTTCTTCTATCTTTTCTACATCCCCAGATTTCTGTTATAAGAAATAAAGAAATATATATAAGACATTGTACAAAAAGTAAAAAAAATTAAAAAGTAAAAAATTAAATTAAACCGTCGTGGTACTAAATAACAGACAACGGTATGTAAGAATTACAAACGTCTAAAATTAATTAAACGATAGTAAATAATAAACATCGTGGTAATTCTTTTATTACGACGGTTATGAGAATTGAAAAACAAATGAAAAAGGCAAAGTTATGAGAATTTACCTGTTCAACTATCTCAACTATCTTTCCTTCTACATCCCCAGATTTCTGTTATAAGAAATAAAGAAATATATATAAGACATGTACAAAAGTAAAAAAAAATAAATTAAACCGTCGTGGTAGTATATAACAAACGACGGTTTGTAATAATTACAGACGTGTAAAATTCATTAAACGACGATAAATAATAAACGTCGTGGTAATTCATTCATTACGACGGTAATGAGAATTGAAAAAAAAAATTGAAAAAGGCCAAGTTATGAGAATTTACCTGTTCAACTATCTCAAGTATCTTTCCTCCTACTCTCTTTTCTACTTCCCCGGATTTCTGTTTTAAGAAATAAAGAAATATATAAATGACATTGTACAAAAAGTCAAAACAAGTAAATAAACCGTCGTGGTAAAGCATAACAGAAGACGGTATGTAATAATTACAGACATCTAAATAACATCAAACAACGGTTTAATGAAAAAATGCGTCGTGGTATAGCTTTTAACATGGCGGTAAATATAAACAGGGAAACAGAGAATTCAAAGTTCAGAGACGTTACCAAAATGGCACTCCATTTTATGTCACTGGAGAGGTTGGCAAAATGGTTGACCGAATCTTGTTGGATTGCAGTTTAGCCGTGAATTTGATCCCAATAAAGACGCTACATGTCATAAAGATCTATCAATGACAAATGCCCTCCTCAGTGTTGACCATAGCATACATGGGTTCAATCAACTTGTAAAAGGCCACGTGCTCTCTATCACATTGCAAATGGAAATGTGAAATTCTCTATGAGCGCTTTCGTCTATGCAACAACATCCTATTAAGTCATGCATGACTGGACGCATATGATGCCATCTATGCTACGCTCCACCAATGCTTCAAATATTTGTGGAGTAAATGAGGGTTTTAACCAACTCTGATCTGCTTATAGGGGAAGTGATAAATTACTCAAATGCAAAGTTTTATGGACCGCCTGGCCTTACCTTAGCTCAACCTTCAAAAGCCGAAAAGCTAGATTAGAGTGAGAAGGTGAAAAAAATAAAAAAATAAAAAAAAAGGAAAAGAAAAGGCAAAGGCACTTGAGTCCGACAAAACCATTTGAGTAAACTATGTGCATTGTATCAGGTCATCCTCAAGAGGTGAATGAGTTGTGAAGACTAAGCTAAAGAAAGTTTTCATGTTCTCGATAAGGGACCAAGGAGAGTCCAGTTTGTTGAGACATACAATTAAGTCGTTTATGAGGTGCTACACTTGGGCTCTTCGAAAGATCAGCTAGCCCAATTCAGGGGGCAGTATGGTTATTAAAAAAGGGCAAAAGGGGAAGAAAAGCAATGTCAACCTCACAATTCAACAAGTGAATGACATATTTAAAGCAACGCTCCCAAAGCCAAACTCAAACATTTATGAACCTGAACTCCTCACTATCCTCGAGCAATTAATGTTTAGAGGAGATGAAGTGAGTACGGAGTTGCTTCACATCTTGGTATTCAAACGCCCAGGGGGCAAAAAGCCACCACGCAACTTAGTCTTTCAATGTTTGGAGGATCTTTTCAATAATCAACAAGGGAAGGTTCACAAAATATCAAGATTCAATGAAAGGCAATTTTCAAAAAGCTCAAAAGGGTTTAAAGGGAACAACGACATTACTCAAGTCAACTGCACCTCCACCAAGGAGAAAATAGAGCAAGGTGTCAACCATCCGTTTGCAGAGGAATTCCATTGACACTGTTCAACTAGCAGGGACTCACGTATTTACTAAGGTCTTTGCTAATGAGCTCACGAGTCGTCGAACTCTAAAGGGAAACACGTTTCGCCTTGTGTCAATGTGAAGTTCGTTAAAGAATTATGTCTAGGTACCGGTCCATTTCATTGGAAGCCCAAAAGAGCAGGATGAAAAAATGTTTCTTGGGCCAAAAAAAAAACCAAAAAGGCGGCCCAAGCAAAAGAACTACGGTTGACTTGATCCCTCAAAAAGGGTACGTAGGCAATCTAGTTATAAAAGCTAGATGCAGTCGCAAATCTCAAATGTCTCTTTTTGTACCTCAAATAAAAGAAGCAAAGGCAAGCAGGCTCAAAAGCAAACTCTAGCCATAAATTTTCCACAAATGGTTTTAGCACGTGGTTAAACTGCTATATACTACACAAGAACTCCAATATCACATGAGTATAAACTGTGAAAAAAAAAGAAAAAAGAGGCTCGTTGGGCTGAAAACCCGAAAGGGCGGTCCAAGCAAAAGTTAGAGCTAAAAAGGAAAAAAATGCTCGTTGGGCTGAAAACCTGAAAGGGCGGTCTAAGCAAAAATTAGAGCACCCAAAAAAAATAAAAAAATAAAAAAATAAAAACTTTGTGGGCTGAAAACCCGAAAGGGCGCCCCAAGCAAAGAACTACGGTTGACTTGATCTCTCAAAAGGGGTACGTAGGTAGTCTAATTCTTAAAAAAAGCTAGATTCAGTCACAAGTCCAAAAATCTCCCTTCATTTCCTCAAATCAACAAGGGTGAACTATGTTCGGCTTGATCCTTTTACAAGGTACGTAGGCAATCTAGCCTAAAAGCTCGATGCAGCCGTAAAATATCAAAATCCATTTTTTATCAACCAAATGGTGAGCATGTGGTTAAACTGCTACACAAGAACTCCTGATTCACACGAGTATAAACTGTGAATGGTTGAAGCAAAAAGCAAAAGAAATCCCAACTGTTGTACAGAAGAGAAAGCTATCAAGCCTTGCACGCGAAAAGTTGTTTCACGCACAATGCTTGAGGGGGCATCTGTTGAACCAAAAAAAAAATCACGAAAAAAATTTGAAACGTGGGATTGGACACCCATAATTCTGATACCCGTTATTAGCCACATCTAGCAAGCAGTAAATTGAGGGTAGAGAGGTGGGGGTCTAAACCAATGAAAACTCTTAAGAGAGGTTAGTGGCTCCTATTTTTGGGGGAGTTGATTTTTCAGTTTCTTTGGCTTATAAAGCAGCAGTAAAGAAATAAAGAAAAAAAAGAAGAAGAAACGACAGAGGATAAAAGGGGCTGCTGGAGGAAGAAATTGGCAAGAGCGCAGAGACAAAAAATTCACAGGTATACTGAGTTCTTCAATTAATTCTTGTTGGAACCCTCGAATCATTCTCTTGGATGGTGAATCCGTATTGGGTGGCAACCCTCAAGTCATTTTCTTGGATGACAAATCCATGGGTGGCAACCCTCAAATCAATTGGAATGGGTGGCAACCCTTAAATCATTTTTATGGGATGATAAATCCTCCGGCGGTAACCCTCAAATCAAATTCTTGGATGATAAATCCATGATGGGTGGCAACCCTTAAATCATATGCATGAACAGCAAATCCATGAGAGGATTCTTGTTCAACAAAGCTCTGCCGAGCAAAAGGAGATCCTATGAAATAAAAATGGAGATCTGCAGGAAAACAGCCCCGTTCTAGGAAGAGGGCTTGGCGTTGTTTGCATACCAACGCAACAGACCAAACAAAAAAGAAGAAAGATGGATATGCAGCCACGTTTTGAATTCTTGGCTTGGTGTTGCATATAGCAACGACAAACAAAAAATCACAGCCACCTAAAAAAAAGAAGAGCAGCAACAAACGAAAAAAGTGGCTGTACGCCACTCTGTGTGTGTGTTGCTGGGTTGAAAGGAGAGAAGGGTGCCAGCCAACAAGAAAACATGGGGATAAAAAAATAAAGGAAAAGAAGCATAACTTGGGAGGGGCCACGTTGTGCAGCCCATGTATGGGATGCGCCATCTGTTGGTTTCTAATCAAAATAAAGAGCATGATGTATTTTGCTACAGCCATCAAAAAGAAGAAGAAAAGTCAACAAGCAAATAAAGAAAGAAGGAAGAAAGTGGCGTTGCCATTTTGTTTCAATTGGCATGTGGACAAAGCGTACGGGCTGTAGACCAACATGGAGAAAAGTAAAATATGGCACCTTTATTCAACTCTCTCTCTAGCAGATCGCACAGCACTGGAGTTTAT